CTGTCCACTGGGAGAAGCACCAGTGGTTATGTTTGAACGGTGGCACATATTTCGCCGTAACAATTAGCGGTAGCGATAATTATTATTGTATTATATATGCGCTCTGGGATTTACGGACTGGAGATGCGACAAAAGAGCTTTGGACAAACCTGTAAATTAGTGAGAAACGAAACGAAGATATCAATAAACGTGATATTGAGATAAATTTAATTTTTTAGTGATATAAATAATTTCATATTTCTTGATTCAATCGTGTATCAAATAAATTTTAACAACTTTAGGAAAAATTAAGATATAAAAATTATTAGAATTATTATTGAAAAATATTTCCGCTTTTGTTATAAATTCGAGAATATTAAAATAAAAATATTAACGTCCTTATAAATCAAGAATTAAAGCATATTATCAATTTTTGCACTTGCAGTTAAACACGAGTCTGATGGCTTACATTTCAAGTATGTCTAAATAATGGCAATGCAATGGTCATTCTTTGGGACTCTCAATATTATAAATTGTAAATAAATGATATAATCGCAATCATTATATTATTTGAATTTGGGATTACTATTCGGCGTACTCCGTTCCAATTAGTACGTACATTTTAGAAAATATGACGTTTAATATAACTTTATCATAACGTACGTCACATTCCTCATACAAATTCGTCCTCCGCACGTGTCATTTATAACTCCAAGCAAAGTAAAGCGGATCTTTACTTTAAGTGTTAATAGTTACATATTAAAAGTTATTTTACGTCTGTGATTAATGTGAATAGTACGTACTTTTACAAGAATGTAGATTTACTAGATTTTTCTGCTTTAGAAATCAGTGACGTGCTTTTCGAAAGCGTGAAGAATACATGAGCGCAGTTGTGTCATTATTTATAATTGCTTTTGTATCGATATCATTGACATCGATAAAAGAGTTTATAACAGGCCATTGAAAGAAGTGCAGACGTTACGTTTGATGGGATAACATGTTGATCTATAGAATCTTGCAAAAATAAAACTCTGCATAGACAACAGCGCTATACAAATAACAACGGTGATGTGTTTCACTGTACATGCCCTCAGGAATATACCGGATGGAAATGCAACAAATTCCGGTTTAAAGAAAAGAGTTACATGATTTTTAAAACATTATTATTAAAACACGATTATTAAAACAGCAATGGAATTAAAGTATTAATCTACCACTAAACGTAATGAAGTAATAATAAGTTTGATACTTATTTGATATTTATTTTTAAATATTATATAATTAATGCTATAAATAAATAGCATTCTAAGTATTTTATAATGTGATATTAATATATTACTTATTTCAATTCCATATTATTAATTGTCATACGCATTTGTTTTAATTATCGGTGTTTTACGCATCTGTTTTCTCAGTTAAAGATTCCACGCCGCACTTGAGACATAATCGATATAAATGTCATTGACAGTATCGCACGTGCCGTCGCGTTTATAGAGACAGCACGATATTCGCAGCAGCGAATCGATGTTCGGAATTACACCGGTGACCTCATAAAATTTCGCTATTGCAATCCGAGACGTAGAAATCTCCGAAGCGATGGTAGCACTTTACATTCATAAACAAGCAAACGCACGTACGGCATAACGCTGACATTTTTGCGGAATATCGTAACATTTATTTTTTTTCATTTTTTATTCAAGACATCAGTGTCACAATTTCCTGTTTTTTAGCCTTCATTTTCTTGATTCTTATCACGCTGATAATAATTTTTAAAAATTAAAATATTTTTAGAAAACTAAGTAATATAATTATAACAGAATTTTAACAATTAAATAATTGGCTGAGCGATTTCTTCTGACAATATTTTTGATCGAATCTTTTCTTTTCTGCTATTGATACTCGCTGATTTCTGTCAATTATTCTCATTAATGGCGTCTCAAATGTGCTAATTACATCTCGAAGAGCTTTAAATCGAAATCTTTATAATGATCTCAATGTTTGACGTAATTGCAAAATGCTTTAACGTTTGATTTTTAAATATTTCCATAACTAATCCGCGCTGCTTCACAGTAAAAAGTATTGACGCGGAAGGAGGAAAACCGCGTAGCTGTAAAAGGTTTTTACAGCGCGATAAAAAGTGTACTATCCTCGATGCACCGAAAAGTGGCGGCTTTTGTCAGGTATAGTCAGGGTGAAACAGGATTCGCTACGCGTCGAAAATCTCTTTCGTTGGGAAGACTCAGTAAAAACGCAGATAAAGCTCGATTTTTAAATCTGCGCAAATAAATCCCGAAACTCTCAATGGAGTCTGCGCGATTTTTTTTCTTGCCAAAGTAATAACATTCGGAAATCACATTTAGCGATACATGAAGCGTTAACAATGATACGATCTTGACAGAGATTGAATGTGTGTGCGTACGTGAGGTATCTATTTTGCAATTTATATATTTATGAAACATTGGAATTTCTCTTATAATCGTAAAATAATTGAACAAAAAATGCGTAATTATCTTTTGTTACAATTAAAAAGTAGTTTCAGGAATAAAATTACTCTTGATATTTTTTTAATTCTTACAAATCACAAGAAACAATCGTAATATAATTATATCATTTTCTAGAAGTAATTTAAATAAAATTGCAACAAATAATAATAATTTCACGTCATTTTTAATACCAAATTTTATCTTTGTGAAGTTCACATTAACTCGTTTTGACGCGTAATCCAGTATTCTTTGCTCTACGAAATACACTTTATTTGCAAATTGACGAAAGCACGAACTTCTCAAAATTGTAAATATTATTAGAATTTGCATAAAACAAGAAGCGCGCAAATCTACCAACTCGACAGAAATACACAAATTATAAACGCGAGAAGTATAATTATTTACTTAGTGCATGAATACACATCCAACTTTTGCTCATGCATGAGAATACACTCATTACTCCGGTGCAATTACATATTCCTTTTAGCGTACTCTCGAGAAAGACGGCAAGAAACATCAGACATTCCTACGGACGAGATAAGTCGGTTTTATCGTCGACGCGTCAGTGTTAATAAAAGTTTTATCAGTAATGAAAGAATAACAAGTTTATACTTGCCATCATTAATTCCATTCTTCATATTTACATTCTTTAATAATAAAATGAAAAATAACTTCTTTCAAGTATACAATGTAATATTCTTTTTATTACTGAGGGAGCTCTTATTGGCATTGACATTGAAACATTACGGTTATTTTTCGCCATTCTCTTCGCGGTATATACGTTTCGTACGAAAGAGAGCATGACATGTCAACGCCGCATTCCCACGAGAACGCGTACGTGTTTCAACGTATCCTCATCGGTATTACGTATTACGATGGCACATGTTCTGTATATACGCGCTATGCACTCCTGCGAGCAACGATGTGCACCGGAGGTGTTCTCGTCGCAATTTCCTCGTCGTGAAGCTAAATAGTTTCAATACATTGTGCTTGACGTTAGAGATTTCGAACGTTCAACACTATTCCGCACTGTATGTTATAACAGTTTCGTAACAATGACAATGGCATGTATAGAATTTGAAATGTATAGAAATCAAGAAAGTCAATATTTATAATTGAGAGAGCACAGAACATTTTAAGAATGCACGATGATAATTCAAGCACTTTTTGAGGTTTTTTTTACATCAAAGAAGACAACTGCAATTATAATAAAAATAATGTATAAAAATATCATATAACGTTCATATAACGTTAACATAAATTTATCGTTAATATTCAACATTTGTTTTTGGCATTTATAACTTTAAGCAATATAAAAGTGACTTTCTGCGCAGAACATTCGCAGGCAGATTGAAAATTATTTCTCGAATATTTTGGAGCAGAATCGAGTTTATGATCTTGTAAAATTTCAGAATTATTGGACTTTTGCTATAATTTCACGTTTTCCGCAAAATGAAAAATAACTGTGTCGACACGTTGGCTATATGTTTGATGGGTTAATCTTTTATTAATGTCGATATTATTAATAAAAGAGTGCATGATGGAGTAGGAGGATGTATATGAAGATGGGGCAAACAAAAGATATTGCATGCTTGACGAATGTAGAATCATTATATATGTAGTCGCGTTTAGGTTCTGAATATATTGGAGAGAGATGTCAATATATTGTGGTAACTTGGATAACTGGAGTAATTGGGATAACTAATCACTCGAACGATGATATCAATCAGGATTAGTAACGAGATCGATCAGATGCTTGTCATTTTATTATTATTTGAATTATTTATATATTAGATAAGCATATTTTATTTTTAATATTTTTCGAAGAAAAATCAAGACCAGATATAAAATTTATCAGCTCAAGATATAAAGTTATCAGACATGTCATTAAAAAATCTCTAATATTATGCTAATCCCCACAAATTCAACATTAAGTTGCGAAATAAAACTATTTATATGCTATAAATGATAATGGTTGATACATTATGACTTTTTGCACCAAATAAAAAATAAGATCAAATAGTAAGACGTGAATCTAACAGCAAGACTTACACTAATATTTTAGATACGTATAATTAATTACAAAAGTGATAATTATTATAAATATTACGGCAAATGAATCTTACAAATATAAGTAGTTTATTAGCTATATATTTTAATACTGGATTATTACTTATACTGCGCACATTTATTTTTATCCGATAAATATTTCATCAAAATAACTTTCAAAATTTAATTATTTGCAATACATGTAACAGTTATGCAAGTTGCATTGGTACACGCGAATGTAATGTAATGCATCCAGTGTCACCTGGTAATCGCAAGACGAAACTGCCGTCTATTTATCGACTGCAAGTACGTGGAATATATAAGATGACGCAAATACGCAAAACATCATATTTTGTTTTTGCAATGAGTTGTATAATGATTGACTTATTGATTTTGCAAAACAGATACGTATTTTATTTTATTTTTGCGGTGCTAGCATCGGGACTTTTTTGCAGGGAAGATATTCAAAAAGAAAATAGACATAGCGCATACTATAATAATTATAATATTTATTATCACAAACTATGAGTTAAATCGTACACAGTAATGTAAGAAAAGTTTACAAGTTCGACAATAATTCACTCCAGTTTCCTTCGTTGGCCCGTCGTGCGTTGAAACTGCAATTGCAAGCTCCAACGTGACGATAAGTCGACAAAGATATGTATGCTATGAATCTCTATTAACGAATTACAACTTTTTACAATTGCATTTCCCTCGAATTTCGCGGGGAGTGCCAAGACGATCTTTTAGAAACCGTGCGCAAAAAAAGAGAATTTACTGTCACAGCAAATTTTACGTTGTCATGACAAAATATGTTAATTAATATGCAAACAGCAAGAAGTTTGCTGACGAATTTTGCTGAAAATAATTCTGCTAATCTGCAAATTATATCGCTGTTATAACAAATCGATTTCCATCATCAAAATGTGTATCAGTAGCGATAATTTTATTGCAAAAGCAAAATACATTTGTCAGAAATAAATTATTTGTTGCAGCAACAAATTAATGTGTTTTCATAAACAAATGCACGCAGCAAAATTTATCTATTTTACCAACAAAAATTTTATCACTATCACATTTAATGTGCTATATCAACGATGATTTCGCTGCGATGGCAAAATTCTTTTTTTCCGCGACGGGTCGCGATCAATTTCTTCGCGATAATTTGTAATGAGATTTTTTCCCTCCGGCTATTTGTCGCTTATCTTATTACTATACACGATACGTTGCCTGAAAATTTTCACGAAGAAGGCACCCTTTTGACAGTGAATAATACACTTAAAATTAGATAAAAATTATATTGCATCGTAGAACTACTATATACACTCACGACCTAGTAATATAATAGATGCTATAAAATTTTTATATATCTCGTGCTATTTCTTTTCTTCTTCTTTTCAGTTTATTTATATTGTATCACGCGTATTATAAGGTGCTCGTGTGATCCTCCAAAAATGTCATCGTAAAATATAATTGTATATATATATAAAGAACTATATAGTATATAATTATTTATATATATTTTTATACGTGTCTGTGTGTATGATATACAATTACGATGAAACTACAGTTCATACGTGATTTCGTAATTCACATATGCTTTTTGGAATGTACCGACAATAATGCGAAGGATTCTTTAATGTTTGATCGATCTTAAATTAATTATAAGTATTATATACAGGGTGTTCTAGACGTTAATAGCAGATTCCTGAGGTTATTTGAAGATAAAAATTTTAATGCCAAAATGTCGAGGCTGCTAGTTTTTGAACAAGAAAGATACAAAGTTCACCAATCAGTTTGTCAAAATTTCACGCTGAGGGACATCGCATGTTAAAAGGGTCCTTCTACAACACTTATTCAGCTTGATCGAAATAATAATACTTGAAATAAAGTGAACAATATGTCAGTATTATTATTTCTATCGAGCTGAACAAAGTGTTGTAGAAGGGCCCTTTCGATATGTGATGTTTCTAAGCGCGCGAAATTTTCACAAGCTGATTGGTGAACTTTAAATCTTTCCTGTTCAAAAACTATAGCAGCCTCTGCATTTTGGCATTAAGATTTTCGTTCATAAGATTTTCTAAATAGCCTCAGGAATCTGCCATCAACGGGTGTAACGGTAAGTCGAGGACACCCTGTATAAGTAATTTATTTTTATATAAGAATTATATAAAAGTAATTTTGAAGTATTCTTTTTCCTTCCGGGAGAATTCACCGAACTGTAGCTTCAGCACGCTATATCAGAACTCAAACGTTCGGTTTACTCGTTGATTCTTTTTCTTTTTTTTTCGAAAATTTTTTTCGAAAACGCTGCATGAACATTACGTATATAAAACATTATAATTTGAGTCTAACGATAAAGAAAAAACGAATTTTTAAACAATAACAAGATATACCAACGTGCTGCTAAGAATCACATAAATGCTCGACGGACAAGCGAGTGAGCTTCCATGTATTACGAGTGCCGTCGTCCGAACGGTTTTGAAGAACCGTTTTCTCGGTTTTCCTAGCGGATCGGCTTTTATCTCCGCAGCTCCGGGTTATCGATTGTGTTTTAAAAACTTCCTTCTATCGTAAAAATGCTAGAATTCACAATCTCCCCTTGGACTCCGTTCGGTCGCGCGAAGCAACCTTTTTTTTTATCATTGCACGGTCCTCGTCGTGAATTTATCGTCGAATCGTTCTATAATTCGCAAATTTATCTAAAGAGAAATTCTGTAAGCGTCAAATTTTCAAAGGAATAAATTTTCGCTTATCTAATTTTAATTATTAACCTTAACAAATCTTGATAATATTTGGCATACTTTCACATATAGTCAATTTGTAAAAATGTTACAAGAAATACTTGCGTATTATAGCATTGTCGAATTATTAGAGGAGAAAAGAAAGAGATGGATAATCGTTTGCTGCTACGAATAATCCATTGCGTCTTCGTCGCGTCGCGTTTCGCCGTGAAAAGATGATTGTTCATTATTTACGTGATCGTGTGCAAACTTGACGACTAAGCGCGTCCTCGCGAGTTAGACGTATCGTAGCGTGTCTCATTCGCAGACTCGGCATGCCGTACAATTAATAGGAAATTTGGTCCGATTGACTGTGACTTGATTTCTCTGTTGACATCTCATCACATGTGAATAGTCGCGGCCGTGTAACGGGCTTCGCCTCTTCGCCAACTCCATTGGCTCGGACGATACTGAAAGGTCAATCACGTAACAGATAAGATTGGTTTGCGAGATATTAATGTGTCCGGTATTTAAAAATCAACAAGATAGATAAGGGAATAAATATACGCTAGTTAATCAAAGTGGAATGCGCAAGTGAACAAACAATTGATAATCACGATTTAATAATAAAGTGAGCAAGATAACTCGACAATCAATATTCAGTCTTTAGTAGAATCAATATTTAATCAGCAAGTAAGATCGATGCGAGCTATGAATGAATAATAAGGAAGAGTGATAAACAGGGAAAAATCTATAATCAGTCGTTTACACAGCGCTTCTAATGCAATTTAATGAACACTTTTCTTACCCTGATAAGCATCTGGCCAGATGTGCTGTGAGGATTGCGATAAGCGTATGCACCCCAACCCGCAAAACCTATCACTAGGGCGACGACAGTGAGAATACCGATTATTCCCGAAACGCTCATATTCATGTTGTTCGGAGCTGAAAAATAAGAAGAAAATCGTCCGGTAAGAAAATTTAATCATATCACGTTATTCAAGATTTCGAAAAGAATTTATTACACATATATATCCGTCGATTATTTTTCATTTGTGACTAATGATCAAAGGATATCGTTAAGCTTCGTATTGCAGTCGCAAAAAGTGCGCTAATGTACAACCAGTTCTACAAGTGCGTCAACAAGTTTAATTTTCTTGTTTGAATTATTTTTTAATCATTTTGCATCATTTGTTTGCGAAAAACATTTACCGTATAATTTTGTTTAAATTTATCATAAACTGATTCGCGCTAACTCAACTATATATGCCGGCAATTTTCTTTAAAATTAACTTTGAATTATTTTACACAATTTTTTTGCGGGAAAAATATAAAAATATAAATATAAAAAGACTAAGAATTGAAAGACTTACTGGTGCTTTCCAAGAGACTGCTACCAGGTCTCTCTTGCTTCGCGGTCATCTCGTTGGCGGTGATCGATTCCTCCAGATGTACATGGCCGTCGTGATCATACTCTTCGCCCTGATATGTCGTAATCTGCGCCGAACAGTTCTTGAGCTCTTTAATATTATGCGTATCACAGCTCTTCAGCAGCCAGTCCTGCCGCTGTCGGGACGTGCCGGTGCTGCATTGACTCAATTCCGGGCACCATTTGCACTCGAAAGTGGGCACTTTGGTCACACAGTCGCGACAGTTCTCCTGACTAAGACACGTCGGCAACGCTTTCAGATAGATGGTCGTGCAGTTGTTTATGCCGTGGGTTTGATCGAAAGTGACGCGGTGGTACTCGTAGATAGTTTTTCGACGCACAACTGCAAAACGAATCGGTGAATTAAGTTTTTCTGATTACATTTTTCGAGTGCCTTCAAGTACAAGCGTCCAGATACTCGTGTGAAACGATAAACGGACATAGACATTTATAGTTGATCGCGAGAATTTATGTCGGCGTTCTAAATGCATAAATTTGAATTGATTTAAAGGATGCGTTCAAATAAAATAGTAAATCGCGCCATTCTGCATAATTTTTATTCGCTCTTAGTTGTTTCGACGCTAGGCCACAACAGCACAGTCGTCCCGAATTTTTCTGCCGGTGTTTAATAACGTTATCTAGCGACGCAGATATTACGATATTTGATATTATCTCGCGACAAAAGCCGCCGTGGCGGTTACGCAATCGTCGAGCGGACGAGCGGACAAATTGGGTAACGAGCATGAAAGAGCGCACTTACAGAACACTGTTCTGTCCATGATGTAGGCATCGCTGACGCCGACCTTGACGGGATGCATCGTGTCCTCAATATGGTCGATCTTCATCGGTATGTCCGAATAGACGAACACGATGTCACCGTTCTGGTGCAAGGTCACCTGGAAAGTGAACGAGCCGGCATCTGGCTTGTCCTGCAGCACCACCTTGTCCCACTCGACCGTGAACGCCGTGCCTATCGTGCGGATTAAAAGGAATATAATGTCGCGCTGCCTGTTCATACGCATATTCCGCGCGCGCGCGCGCGCGCGAATATCTTGCGGCCGCTGATCAATTTAGTGAAACGTGTAATTACAATCAATAAGTCACCGCGTTGATTTACCTCCTATGGACGCGAACGCTTTGCGACACGGCCGGCCCGAGCGAAGATTGAAAAGTCAGCTTGGAAAGATTCAAGAAGTCACGTTTAGAACTCGTTTATTTTATTAGTCGCAAGTGATAAGACTGAGCCGAAGAAAGTCATTTTTTAATAACAAGGGTCAATATTGAATATTTTGAGGAACATAGAAATTTCGGAAAAACTTGCTTCTGAAAAGCGTGAGTTATCGAAAATGTATGAACTATTAAAACAGCAAACACGTGGAAGACTTTGATCGAATCGAGACTAGTAGGATTCGATTGACAATGATTGAGTACGGCTTTCCTGCGGAAAGTGCAGGAACGGAGCGTCCTTCGAGAGCGCGCGAAAGAGAGCCGTCCGTTCGAGAATCCGATGACTCACCGTTGTCAGCGTACTTGACGTAACTGGCGTTCGACAGGCGGGTATCGAAATTCGCCATGAGCGGTGCAATGTATTGGGTGGCCGCCAGCCAGCTGTGCACGTATTCGCCGGTGTACAGGAAACCGCCGGTGGCGATAGTGATATTGCGCACCTTATGCCCGTAGAACGGGAAATCGAACTTCAGCTTGATGGTCTGCAACGGTACAGAAATCGCGTATCAGCCGTGAAATTTGCTTCGGCCAGAATTCGGCAATTCAGCCAAAATTCAGTAATTATCGGGAAATTACAACTGCAGTTTAAAAAGAAAAAATTATTCCAGAAAAAAAGAATCTTACACACACATTTTGGTATCGCTGCAAAATTATAGCTGTTAATGCAAATTTTGATACAACGGATTTAGCAAAATTATTTTCAGCAAATAAAATTAGTGTTTGTAACAAATCTCTTTACTATTCATGTAATAGAACTAGCATATTTTGCCACGACAGCATAGAATTTGCCAGCAAATTCTTATCTTGCTTGACGTGTTATTAATTATTAGTAATTAAGCATATTATACGTTGCTATGAATTGACATGCGCCACATATCTTTTGGTTTCTCACGGTACAACACAAAATAAAAAAAGAAATAAGCGAGTC